TAAATAAAATTACATTTCCATAAACCTTTTTTTAACCGATGATCTCATTAATAATATGCAATACCACTGTAACTGTATGTATATTTTTACAGATAACAGATATTGGTGTAGTGAATATTTGCAATTAATAATAATTATAAATTTAGATAAGAAAGCAAACAGTCATCAGGCAGGCAAGGAGATTAAAACCAGATGAAGGGAATAACATTTCGAAAAGAGAGGGACAGAGGAGACAGGGTACAAAATAACATTTCCTACATTCGAAAACAAACGCTCCTCATTATTCCTCCATTATAGTTAGAAATTCAAAATTATAGAAACAAAATTTCAGATTTTCTGCGGTTTCTCCAAAAACGCTTACTTAGTACGCTTTTTTTATTGAAATTACTTCCAATTTTTTAAAATTAAATAGAAACATGTTTCGAAATCGTAACACTTAAACAAATTAAACACATGGTTTCAAATAGAGTTTCAAAATGCTAATTTGATGACGATACGGTTGTTATCTTTTAAATAATTAATTGATTCAGACTAAAATATTTTATGCTCGACAGTGATTTGCTTCCTTGTGCATCAAATTATCCCTATCACAAATTTCACTATAATTGTATGAATATTATAGGAATCCATATGAACCGAACAGACAAACACTTATGAATAATTAAAAGTTCTACAAATGCCACTCTTAATCAACAATGGCAACATAAAAGTGTTGCTTTTTGGGTTTGTAAAATAATATTAAAGAGGGGGGGGGAAACAAAAAGCTATCGAAATCTGCACTGTAAGAATTCCGTATCAAGTTACGGTTAAAAATACCGGAAGTCAGGGTGCTGGTTCTTTTTACCGTAAAATCCACTTTAACCGGAACATGTTACGGAAAAAGAAATCTGATATATCATATTTTATATATAGTCAACGTAAAATCATTTAATTATTCAAATTAAATAAATATTATTATGAAACTTATGGTATAACATTTGATGAATGATGCCGTTTGAGTTTACCGTATTATCATAAAGTAATATAGGGTTCATCCAAAAATTAATGCCACTGATTTTTTAGTGAAACGAAGGCATGTCACAAATCACGCAAGCAGGCTAGTATTCGTGGTGTGAGCAGTCAGATCACACGTGCTTGAGTTGTCAGCTGTCTTTGAATAAATGATTTAGTATGCCTTTAACTTGTTTTGTCTCTCACGCTAGTCGCCATGCAATTCTCAGTGGGTATTCTATCAAGTTTTCAGGAAAAACTATCAAAAACTGCAGAAGAAGCATTTCTCATAGTAAAGCTGACCTTGGGTGATAGTTTTTTTATCAATGTGACAAACTCTATCAAAGGCATAGTTCAGTTTTTAAAAGTTTTATAAATGGCATCAAGAAAATTCCCAACTAAGGCAATCAAAAACGAAAATGTGATTTGACGCATTATAGCTAAACAATGAAACTATCCACTAATGTTAGGGTTTCTAACGACGCAGACATTAAGCATTCCAAAAATGTTAGGTCGGACAATGTAAAGCTTGCCACCTTACCTTCTTCGTGATTCAACTCCTGGTCAATATAAAATACCAACGGTTCTGCAGCCCACTATACAAGCTTTGACTCACACACTTGAAAAGTCCAATGAAAGGACATCGATATTGATAACTGACAAAATCCAAAAAGTCTGTACAAAACTCTAAATAACATTCCAGTAAAGACCTACCGCGAATTCGAGTTCTGGAAATCTCGTTGGAAGCGATATATCCACATCCTTATTTTAAACCATTTAATGTGTTGTACTAGTCAGATCAATAAATGTTTTTAAGTTGAATGGCATTACTTTTTTAGACAAAATTTGTTAAAATTCCTGTAAATACAGTTTCAGGTATAAAAAGGAAAGGAAATGAGTTTTATGAGCTGGAAAAAAGGAAAGGGAGAAAACCGGGAGGAGCACACGGAAGACGGATATTTCATTAATTATACATCAGAGCCACCTACTTTATTGCATATAGCGGCAGTGTCTATAGCTAGCAGACTATGGTCAGAACCAGATATAAAAGAGGACATCAAACAATACTCAGAAATCAACGGTTTTTATTCTAGAGCTAGAGCAGCTGAGAAAGTTTATGAGGAATATGAAAAGAGAGTGTTGCAGAAACTTGCTGATATGCTCTTGCCAGACAAACTAAAATGCAAAGTTTCAGAAAATTTTCGACCTATAGGATTGCAGTTGTTCAAAGGCTTTGCAAAAGAAATTGAAGAAACTTTTGAGAATGACTACAAAGAATATTGCAGATTTTATGATATCTTCAAAATGGGAGGTTCTGTCTACTGGACGATGGAAGGAATAATTGATAACGTAACATCACTGAAAGAACTGATTAATAATGATGATCAGGAAAAAGACTTTTATTGCTTATATGAATTAGCCTGTAAATACTGCCTTGAAGAATGCGTCCTATATATATGGGGTATGATATCACCCGACAAAAAGAATGAAGTTGATTCCATATATGAAAACTATGACTATGAAAATGATGACTATCACATAATAGCATATTGGACTGCCCTTATCGAAAATAAATTACGAGACTTTTTAGAAAAGTTGAAGCAAAATGATGTGTTTAACTTCTATGACAATAGTCTGAGTATTGAACAAAACATGGTTTCGTTGTCTATTTTTGTTAAAAACCCATACTCTCTCAAGTATTTTTGGAATAAACTGAAAGAAAATGAAAGAAATGTTAACTTAGAAAAATGGTTGAACCTTGCCGTACGTCAATTTCCGGAATGGGGAAGACATGAATATCAAAGCTGCAACGATAAAACAAATAGTTTATGTTTTTTGTTATCACAATTGAATGATAAAAATCAACAAAAAGAAGTTTTTGAAGCTCATTCGGAGGTAATATTGAGGGCTTTATTTTATAATTGGCCGTGGCAAAGATTCTTTTTGCCAGCGTTCTGTATAATGTTGGAATACGTTTCAGAGGAAACTTTTGTTGAAATGATGTCACTTATTTCTAATGAAATCAGAGAAGAAAACGAAATCATAATCGAAGTGTTTAAAGAAATTTGGTTTAAAAGTCCATTAAAATTAAAAAAATCTCTGATTCAATTCTTAGAGGAGTCTACAAAGATAATATATCGTTTTATTGACATGGATGATGTTGAAACTATTTTTATGATTTTAAAATACGCTACTGAGGAAGAAAGTAAACAAATTCTTTTTAAAATGATTGAGAGTTACGCATTATTTTCGACACTGCGTTCAAATAAACTGAGTTTAATTGACACTTTGATGACGAAGTATTTGACTTCAAGTGACGACATCGAACACTTCAAGTACAGCGTGATGGTAGAGCACGGAAATGATTTGTGCAAAGCTTGGATAGATGAAAATGATTTTCAAGCAGTTGAAACACTAATTGCATGGAGTTTAAAAACGACAGAAGATGTTCGGTTATTCAAGGAAGAAATATTAGACAAGAATAAAATTTACTGCTCTTTAGTGTGCTTGGGTGATTATCAAGTAGTTGATCGTTTTATGAATTGGTGTTTCGAGAGTGCAGATGACATTAAGAAATTCAAAAAAGCATTTATCCACGAAGTCGATGAGGATAACTCTTCTATTTGTTCACATTTATTATGGGAATTAAGCGTTTGCAATCAAGGGTGGGAAAATTTTGAGAAATTTGTCAATTATAATTTTTGTTCCCCAGAAGAAGTAACAGAATTTAAAAATTTGTTTCTGGAATCAGTACCATCTTTTTTAGATAGTTACAGATTTGAATTTGCTCACAATTTCGTAATGTGGTGCCTCGGTTCAATCGATGAAGTCAATCAATTCAAAAATTCATTTTCGACTTCTGAGAAAGGAATGAAGATTGTGGTGCGTGCTGTGAATAAAGGGTATCCCGTTTTTTACCACCCGAATGAATTAATAAAATGGCTTTCGATGTCAAAAGAAACAACTGCCGAACTGAAATGCAAATTGGATAACAATGAGCGTTTTTTTTATAACTGCAGCGTAACTGTTGCGGACTATAAAAGGTGGGCGTTGTTTTATATGTTAGATAAACATGATGGAGGTGACAAAACTGAATACAAGGAAGATTCTGACAGTATTGATAAAGATAATGATATAACAATAGAAATTATGAAGGCATTCAAGAACAGACAATAGGAAAATATTTATTTTTTTCAGACTCTTATGCTATTTTGAAATATACAAAAAATAGATTATTAACTCTTTTAAGGGTGCCCTGTTGTCAAACTTTTTTCTCTGTCCTAAGTGTATCTGTCATGATTATTTGAATTCTAGACTGTTTGTAAACATTAAATTATGATTTCTGGTAATAATGATTATTTATGATCGTTCATTATGATTGCCTATAGTCATAATTCTTGTAAGCAAAGATTTTGGTTTCTCTTAATTATGTTCACTTACAATCGCCTTTTGTTGAGATTACAGGTGATCATAAAGTCTTTTTATCAGAAGTTATTCTTACGTGTTACTGAAACTAGTTTTTTGTTGTTATTACTTTGCCATTCGCCAATAGCAGCAAGCCTGGTTTAAGAAACCAATCAAATTTAACCCACTGACTGTTGAACAAAAGGGCGAAACTGGGAAAATATTTCTCCTCCATACACTATTTTCCAATCTAATAACAAGGAAAGAAAAAAAGCGGTTTTGTAAGGCGAGAAGACTAAAGGTAACAGTGCGACTTTTTATGAGCAGAACAGTCAGTGACAGAGAGTAAATTTCTTGTTCGTTCAGTGGCGCCCTCTATGGCCGAGAATACGATCTCAGCCACACACACGTCACAGTATTTTTTACAGGGAGGACCCTTTCCTTTATTCATTTTGCGTTCGTTCATTTGATCATTTTCAATTGAAATAACTTTTAATTATAAACGAAGAATTTATGATTCCGGTGATTTTCAACGACAGAGTTTATGGCCAATTCTCGTATGTAAAACTTTAAAAAAAAAAAAAAAAAATTCACTTTTTTGGTAAAAAAAGATAGTAGTTCTAAAAATCAATATTTATTTTATTTCCACCAATTTTAGGAAATAAGCTAAATTAATTTCCTTTTATAAATCAATCACAATCCAAAAAATGTTTTATATAACATTAGTAGGAAAAACGCCCATTTAAAGGGTTAAACATGTAGGAAATCAGATAGCGCGACCGTTTCTTTTGAAATACAAAAGCTGTTTTTTTTTTAATTTTAATTACAAAAAATCTAATGACAGGAAAAAAAGATTAAAAACTAAGTTTAAAAAAAACTTCAGAGGATCAAATAGTTGTTTATATTGTTATCAACACAAAACGTTATCTAATATCGCTTGCATCCCGACATTGATAATCAGCATTCTTTTCATAAAAGTAGCGATTTCATATCTATAATGTGACGGGGTGTTGTTAACTAATTTGTCTTGATTTATGGAGTTGATAACATTAGCGAATTTAGAATAATTACAGTGTTATTGTAAGTCGAATTTGAACACATTTATTTTCTTATACATGCATTGTCATCGTCATAAATAACGTAGGTATTTATGAACTTCGTCCCCAATAACTCAAAGTAAGTTATCAAAATTTGAACTATTTTTTTATTGTTAATTTATCTAATAATCATAAACGCTTATTTGTAAAAAAACAGAGATAAATAAAAGGAGTATTAATCAACTCTGATCTCAGTAATTCAAAGCAAGTAATCAAAATTTGAACTACTTTTTTATTGTTTGCTTATCTAATAATTATAAACGCAGTTTTGCTACATGTTTCATTGCCTAAGTTTGTATATTTTTCTTATTTGCAAAAAAACAGCGGCAGAGAGTAGCATTATGTAAATAGTTTTCAGTGTTTCAAATCGATCTATTTTTTATATTTTCGACATAATATTCTTATGTGAACAATTCGAAGGATTGTAATAAATTTAATTTTCAGCTACTTTTATTATATTGGCAATTCAAGGGATGAACATTTTAAACCAATATTGATAAATGTTTCTCAAATGTGAGAAACATTACGTTTCCATAAACCTTTTTTTTATTGTATGATCTCATTATACAAACCAGTGCATCTGCAAGTATATTCTTGCAAATAATGGACATAAGTGTAATGAATATTTGAAATTAAAAATAATTATAAATTTAAGTAAGAAAGCAAACAGTCATCAGGCAGGTAAGGAAATGAAAACCAGATGAAGAAAATAACATTTCGAAAAGAGAGGGAGACAGAGTACAAAATAACAGTTCCTACATTCGAAAACGAACGCACCTCGTTATTCCTCCATTATAGTTGGAAATTCAAAATTATAGGATTAAAATTTCAGATTTTCTGTTTTTTCTCCAAAAATGCTTACGCTTTTTTAAACGCTCTCTTAGTACGCTCTTTTTTATTGAACTTACTTCAATTTTTTTAAATTTAATCGAAACATGTTTCGAAATCGTAACACTTAAACAATATAAACATATGGTTTCAAATAGGATTTCACAATGCTAATTTGGTGACGATACGGTTGTTATCTTTTAAATAATTGATTGATTCAGATTAAAATATTTTATAGTCGAAAGTGATTCGCTTCCTTGTGAATCAATGAATGTTATAAGAATCCATATGAAACGAACAGAAAAAAAATGTATTATGAATAATTAAGAGTTCTACAAATGCCACCCTTAATCAACAGTGGCAACATAAAATTGTTGCCTTAGGGGTTTGTAAATTAATATTTAAGAGGGGGGAAAACAAAAACGCTATCGAAATCTGCACTGTAAGAATTCCGGATCAAATTACTGTTAAAAATACCGAAAGTCAGGGTGCCGGTACTTTTTAACGTAAAATCCACTTTCACTGGAACATTTTACTGAATAAAAATCTGATATAACATAATTTATATATACTGACCGTAAGATTACTTTATTATTCTCATTAAGTTCACTGTATAACATTTTAAGGATGATGCACCCAAAGTATCAGTACTTTATACCGTTATTTTATCCTAAATCTTTCACAGTATTGCAAATCAAATCTGAGGAAGACGGATATATAAAAAAAAATATTTGAATGTGTTTGGAAATCAAGAAAGGCCCTAGAAAAAGCCGGGTTTACAGGTGAAATTTTCCTGCTGGATCATACACACTCACACACCTATAAATATAATAACAAAAAAAAAAAGAAAAATATACAAATAATAAAAAGTGCTGTAACTTTTCAGCAGCTAACAACACCACATGCCTTTGAACGGAAAAGTGTCTAATTTCGTCATTGCAAAGTGGCGAACAGCAAATGCTGTAGGCCATGTTGCTATTGGCTGATGGACCCGACACTATCAATAATAACATGGGAATCCAAAAAATAAATCCATAGTTAAGGCAAAACCAAATTCCATCCAGGTCAACGTACACAAATCAAGAGCCATCCTTCCAAATTATTGGATTGAAGATGATGCGTCATAAATGAATATAAGTGACGGTTATGTTCCACGTATTTGTGGATAGAGTAAACCTCAAAATGAAATTTAAACTTAAAATTTAATTTGAACCAAAAGGCGGTAGATACAATTAATTGGAAAATTATTACAAATAAGTTTATCTTTAAAAAATTTCAACTGCTTAAGTAAAATTGGTGTTGTTGTTGCTAATTCTTTTGAATATGATAATTTGAGAAATAATAGTACCTCTGAGCACCTTGACACTAATGCAACTGAAATATTTCTGTAGACTGAGTACCTCAAATTTGAATCCTTGGTGTTTATCGCATACTGAGAAAGTGGATTCATGGCCAATACTGCATGTAAATTTAAATATTCTTCATTATCATCATCACTAGTTTTAACAAAATTTACACAATATGGATAAATTGAATTATCTAACCTTGGAAATTCAGGAAAGTTAACGCAAAAATTGTCATTCATATATCTGCAACATAAAAAATTTCAATCTATCTCCTTATATAGTTGTTTTCCTTAGTAAATTAAGAAAAGGTTAGCCATAGTTCAGCTAAATTTAGCTCTCATCTGGAAATACCATTCATTTATAGGAGTTAAAAACAGTTATAATTAATGTAGTTGTTACATACACAAAATTTTAAAAATGCGAGAAATGTATCTATTTTAATTTGTCTTAAGGCAAATGGAACTAAATTAGAAAAAGCTTTAAAAAAAGTTCGAGAGTCAGGGTAGTAAAAAGATTAACAAAATCAAAGGAGATTATAGAACATAATATAGATTTTATAATAATTATAGAACATAGAAGTGATAAAGATTTCAATTATATTTATAACCTCACCTCTGAGGAGTATTTTAACGCTCTGGGAGATTATTCAACTAAATTATATTGTTTAGAAATAGCATTATGCCATCCAAAAATTCTTTAAAAAATACAGTTGCCTTTCGTTTAATTTGCAGTTCTACCTCAACAATTGGTATTGTAATCCTACAGGAATTGCAATTCAAACTTCTTTACTTAAAACTTCTAAAATAACATTAATTGAAACTTCTAAAACAAATACAAATAAAGAAAAACAAAAAATTTCTATTTTCTCCACTTTTTAATTGATTTTTAAAATCGTTTGTCATTTTTTAAATACCAAGTATTATGCTTAAAAGAAAATACTCACAGAAATCTATAAACGAAATTAGGGATTTTCCATAAACTTTAAAGTTGGACATAGAAGTTATAAAATAGAGAGAATAAAACTGTTTAATGATTGCTTTAAAAATATTTAAAAAAAAAAAACATTTTTGTTTTTGTGACATATTTTGAAAATATTCAGTTGCAGTTTGATTTACATCATGAAGTTTTAAGCAAAACTATTCAATAATTAAAATGCAATTTTTTATCATTTTAAAATAAAATCTTTCAATCGAAGATGTGAAGACTAATGAACCGTAAGTGCTTATAATAAAAAAAATTATGTTAAACTGCATATATTATGAAGAATATTTGTAGGTAGATTATAAAATATATTTGGAGTGCCATAAAAAAATAACAGGAAATATATTTCAAAATTATTTATAAAGTACCTTAAATCATGAAAAAGTTGCTATTTTTTTAAGATATTACATTTGGCTCCCTGATATCTGATGAAGATCTGTTGACAATTCAATGAATTCCATAGCTTATTGTCCATAGTGATGCATTCTGCAACTCTTCTCAAAGTGCTGAAAATCACAAATTTACAATGTGGTAAAGTTTAACGCAGTATTAAGAGTTTAACGTATTATCATAAAGTTATAATAACGTTCATCCAAAAGGTAATGCCACTGATTTTTTAGTGAAACGAAAGCATGTCTTAAATCACACAGCTAGTATCTGTGGTGTGAACAGTCATATCACACGTGCTTGATTTGTCAGCTGTCTTTGATTAAATGATTTAGTATGCCTTTAACTTGTTTTGCCTCTCCCGCTAGTCACCATGCAATTCTCAGTGGGTATTCTATCAAATTTTCAGGAAAACTCTTAAAAACTGCAGAAGAAACACTTCTCATGGTAAATCTGACCTTGGGTGATAGTTTTTTATTTTATCAACGTGACAAACTCTATCAAAGGTGCAGTTCAGTTTCTAAAAGTTTTAAACATATCACCAAGAAAATTCCCAACTAAGGCAATCAACGACGAAAATCTGACGACTCGACGCAAGTGATTGAACAATGAAGCTATCCACTAATGTTAGGGCTTCTAACGACGCAGACATTAAACATTCCAAAAAAGTCAGGTCGGACAGTGTAAATGACTGTAAACCTCTTAATGGTTCGCTTTCTGTTAAAAACAAAAGCCAATTCCAGCCAACTTGCAGTCTTAGAGTAGGAACCTAATTTTTCTATTAGTTCCCAAGCATTGATAATTCCCGGAAAAGGAAAACATTTTGGGCTGTAGACAAATTGCAAGAAGCCTGCGTGAGAGCTTCAAAAGAAATTTCAGAAAATGCCTCGTATGTTTTCGATACCTGGAAATTTCAGTGGAAGTGATGTATGCGCACAAACAGAGCTTATTTTAAAACATTCAAATGCCTTGAACAGATCTATGAATCTTATCAATCTTTAGACACGTGCTGGATAATCATCAACGCCGAAATGTGACGCTACCTGTGTTACTGTACGTCAGACAGTTAATTGAGAATCAGTTTAACGCATTAATTAATGCATGCATTAAACACTCGAGAAGACCTAGCTGAACAAAGCGGGTGATTATAACTTGCACCTTACCTTCTTCGTGATTCAACTTCTGGCCAATATAAAGTGCCAACGGTTCTACAGCCACGATACGATACAAACGCTTACTCACACACTTGAAAAGTCCAGAAAGAACATCGATTTGGATAACTGACAAAATACAAGAAGTCTGTACAAAACTCTAAAGAACATTCCATTAAAAACCTACCGTGAATTCGAATTCTGGAAATCTCGTTGGAAGCGATCTATCCACATCCCTATTTTAAACCATTTAATGTCTTGTACTAGACAGATGAATAAATATTTTTAAGTTGGATGGCATCACATTTTTGGACAAACTTTTTTAAAATTCCTTTAAATAATTGGAAGTGTTGGAGCCGTAAAGATAAGACTTACATTTCATTTAAACATTTATTTATGAGATATTTTTTAAATTTTTGCACACCGAAATTTTAATTATTTGAAGTCACTTCATAGTAAATAATGTCTAAAAAGCAGTAGCTGTGCAGTTTCTGTAAAATCACTTCAGTGGTAATCAATTGTCAATTAAAAATGGAGGTATTATTCTTAAAATTGTCTTACAGCACACTCGTTCAAACAAAGTTTCAGATAACCTTATTTCGTATTGCAGTAATATACATTAAACAGGTTGCATGTAAATGATCTATCATATTTTACCATTTGTTACATTCTATCAATTTTTTCAAATATATTTTTCAGATATTCCTTTTGGAAAGAAAATGAGTTTTATGAGCTGGAAGAAAGGCCAGGGAGAAAACCCAGAGGAGCACACGGAAGACGGATATTTCATTAATTATACATCAGAGCCGCCTACTTTACAACATATAGCGGCAGTATCTATAGCTAGCAGACTATGGTCAGAACCAGATATAAAAGAGGACATCAGACAATACTCAGAAAGCAACGGTTTTGATTTTAGAGCTTGGTCAGCTGAGAAAATTTATAAGGAATATGAAAATAGAGTGTTGCAGAAACTTGCTGATATGCTCTTGCCAGACAAACTAAAATACAAAGTTTCAGAAAATTTTCGGCCTATAGGATTGCAGTTGCTCAAAGGTTTTGCAAAAGAAATTGAAGAATATTATTATTATGGAGAAACTGTTGAGAATGAGGACAAAGGATATTGCAGATTTTATGATATCTTCAAAATGGGAGGTTCTGTCTACTGGACGATGGAAGGAATAATTGATAACGTAACATCACTTAAAGAACTGATTAATAATGATGACCAGGAAAAAGATTTTTATTCCTTATATGAATTAGCCTGTAAATACTGCTTTGAAGAATGCGTCCCATATATATGGGGTATGATATCACCCGACAAAAAGAATGAAGTTGATTCTATATATAAAAATTATGAATATCACATAATAGCATATTGGACTGCTTTTATCGAAAATAAGTTACTGGATTTTTTCGAAAAGTTGAAGCAAAATGATATAGATAACATCTATGAGAATGATCTTAGTATTGAACAAAACATGATTTCGCTGTCAATTTTTGTTAAAAACCCATACTCTCTCAAGTATTTTTGGAATAAACTGAAAGAAAGTGAAAGAAATGTTAACTTAGAAAAATGGTTGAACCTTGCCATAAATAAATTTTCGGAATGGGAAATACCTGAATATCAAAGCTGCAACGATAAAACAAATAGTTTATGTTTTTTGTTGTCACAATTGAATGATAAAAACCAACAAAAAGAAGTTTTTGAAGCTCATTCAAAGGTAATATTGAGGGCTTTATTTTATAATTGGCCTTGGCAAAGATTCTTTTTGACAACGTTCTGTCTAATTTTGGAATACGTTTCAGAGGACACTTTTGTTGAAATGATGACACTTATTTCCAAAGAAATCAGAGAAGGAAACGAAATCATAATTGAAGTGTTTAAAGAAATTTGGTTTAAAACTCCATTAAAATTAAAAAAATCTCTGATTCAGTTCTTAGGGGAGTCTTCGAGCATAATATATAGTTTTATTGACATGAATGATGTTGAAACTATTTTTATGATTTTAAAATACGCTACTGAGAAAGAAATAAAACAAATTCTTTTTCAAATGATTAAGAGTTACACGTTATTTTCGATTTTACGTTCAAATAAACTGAGTTTAATTGACAATTTAATGACAAAGTATCTGACTTCAAGTGACGACATCGAACACTTCAAGTACAGCGTGATGGGAGAGTACGGACATGATTTGTGCAAAGCTTGGATAGATGAAAATGATTTTGAAGCAGTTGAAACACTAATTGCGTGGAGTTTAAAAACGACAGAAGATGTTCGGATATTTAAGGAAAAAATATTGGACAAGAATAAAATTTACTGCTCTTTAGTGTGCTTGGGTGATTATCAAGTAGTTGATCGTTTTATGAATTGGTGTTTCGAGAGTGCAGATGACATTAAGAAATTCAAAAAAGCATTTATCCACGAAGTCGATGAGGATAACTCTTCTATTTGTTCACATTTATTATGGGAATTAAGCGTTCGCAATCAAGGGTGGGAAAATTTTGAGAAATTTGTCAATTATAATTTCTGTTCCCCAGAAGAAATAACAGAATTTAAAAATTTGTTTCGGGAATCAGTAACATCTTTTTTGGAAAGTTACAGATTTGAATTTGCTCACAATTTCGTAATGTGGTGCCTCGGTTCAATCGATGAAGTCAATCAATTCAAAAATTCATTTGTGACTTCTGAGAAAGGAATGAAATTTGTGGTGCGTGCTGTGAATAAAGGGTATCCCGTTTATTACCACACGAATGAATTAATAAGATGGCTTTCGATCTCAAAAGAAACAGCTGCCGAACTTAAATGCAAATTGGATAACATCGAACTTTTTTTGGATTACTGTAGCAAAACTGTTGCGGAATATAAAAGGTGGGCATTGTTTTACATGTTAGATAAACATGATGGAGGTGACAAATCTGAATACAAGGAATATTCTGACAGTATTGACAAAGATAATGATATAACAATAGAAATTATGAAGGCATTCAAGAATAAACAATAAGAAAATGTTTTAGTTTTTTCAGACTCTTGCGCTGTCTTGAAATATACGAAAAATGGATCAGTAACTTTTATGAGGGTGTGATCCCCGTTGTTTAAACAATTTTTCTCTGTCCCATGTGAATCTGTTATAATTATTTGAATTCAAGGCTGTTCGTAATCGTTAAATTATGATTTCTGGTAGTCATGATTATTTGTGATCGTTCATTGTGATTGCCTATAGTGATAATTCTTGTAAGCAAAGATTTTGGTTTCTTGTAATCATGTTCACTTACAATCGCCTTTTGTTGAGGTTATAGGTGATCATAACCTCTTTTTATCAAAATTTATTGTTGCGTGTTGTTGTCACTTTGCCGCTTGCCAATATCAGCCTGTCTGATATGAGAAACAAAGGAAATTTGACCCACTGACGGCTGGGTTGACCAAAAGGGCAAAAGTTGGAAAATATTTCTCCACTATACACTGCTTTCCTATCTAATAACACGAAGAAGAAAAAACGGTTTTGCTATGCGGTGAAGATTGCAGGGGAAAATACGACTTTTTACGGGCAGAACCGTCAGTGCATTAAATTTCTTGCTTGTTCAGTGGCTCCCTCTATGGCCGAGAAAACTATCTCAGCCACACACACGTCGCAGTGCTGTTGCAGGGCTGATTCCTACATTCATTTTGAGTTCGTTTCTTTGGTCATTTCTAACCAAAATTATTTGTAATTATAATTTATGAATTCTGTAATTTTTAAGGACAGAATTTCAAGTTTATAGCCAATTCTTGTATGTAAATCTTTGAAAAACCCACTCTCCTTCTCAGCTGAAAAATATAGTTCTAAAAATCAATATTTATTTTATTTCCACTAATTTTAGGTTATATAAGCTAAATTAATTTCTTTTTATAAATCAATCTAAATCCAAAAATTTTTTTATATGACATTACAAGGAAAAATGGCAGTTTAAAGGGTTAAACATGTAGCAAAGCAGAAAGAGGGACCATTTCATTTGAAATATAAAAACGATTTTTTTTAAATTTTAATTTCAGAAAATTCTAATGCCAGGAAAAATTTATTAAAAACTAAGTTAGAAAAAGCCTTTAAAGGATCAAATAGTCGTTTATACTGTTATCGACGCAAATCGTTATCTAATATCGCATGCATTGTTTGACATTGTTAATCAGCATTGTTTTTATAAAAGCGGAAATTTCTTATGTGACGGTGTGATTATTAACTGATTTTTCTTGATTTAGTGAGTTGATAACTTTAGCAAATTAAGAATAATTACAGTATTTTTGTAAGTGGAATTAGAACACAATTTTCTTTTTTACACGTATTTTTATCGTCATAAATAACAGAGGTATTTATCAACTCCGTTTCAACTTAAGTATTCAAAAGTAAGTAATCAAAATTTGAACTACTTTTTTATTGTTTACTTATCTAATAATCATAAACGCAGTTTTGCTACATGTTTCATTGCCTAAGTTTGTATATTTTTCTTATTTGTAAAAAAACAGAGGCAGAGAGCAGCATTATGGAATTTGTTTTTAGTGATTCTAATCAATCTATTTTTATTTTTATTCCAAACATTGTGAACAACATTCTTACGTGAACAATTCAAATGATTGTGATAAATGTAATTTTCAGCTACCTTTATTATGATGGCAATTCAGTATCAAATAACAAGGGCTGAAAATTTTAAACCGATAAAGATAAATGTTTCTTAAATATTTAAAAGTGAGACATGTAAATAAATCAATGGAAATATAAATAAAATTACACTTCCAAAAATCTTTTTTTTTATTGTATGATCTTATTATTAATATGAAAAACCAGTGTATCTGTATGCATATTCTTAGAAATAATAAACATAAGTGTAGTGAATATTTGAAATTAATAATAATTATAAATTTAGATTAGAAAGCAAACAGTCATCAGGCAGGTAGGGAGATGAAAACCGAGGAGGGAAATAACATTTCAAAATGAGAGGGTCAGAGAAAGAGACAGACGGTAGGGAATAGTTTGTGGAGGGTATTCAACAAATTACTAATGAAACATAAAATCTGATGAGTATCACAGTTAAAAAAATTCCATACACTCGTCGTAGTACAGGAAATACTTCCTTGTAGAGTGCGTAGAAATCAGCCGCAATGCCAAGAGGATGGCAACAGCTTTAGCAGAAAATATCTGGGATTTTGTAGCTAAAGGCATCAGCAATGATGATACCACAGGCTACATATCACGCAGATTTTGATCCGTCAATAAACACAGGCATATACTCAGGATACTGATGTTAATGAGAAGTGAAGAGTTGTTGATAATAGACATAAGTGTAAGTAGATCAACATTAGATTTACTATAAATAAAAGGGGAATAAAATTGATATGGTGTGATGTTCCATGGAGGTATGAGAAAATGACCCACCGATTACGATGGTGATTCGCAAATGTCAAGAGTTTGAATCAGTAAACGCATGCGAGCTTGAAAGTAATAAATGAGAGACGAATTCAAGCGATGTAAATCTAATGGTATTTTATTGCGGACATCATATAAACTTTTAACTGGGGATGCACAAAACGAACAAATGCGAACGAAAAAGCTCCTGAAGAAATGCGTAAAGCAGATTGGTGTACTGTATCTAAGATACGTAGTTTGGATGCGGTTGCAGAGCCATAAACTGCACATGCATAGTCAAGGCGAGAAAGTATCAGAGCTTGATATATGCGTAGCAGGGCTAAGCAATCCGCTCCCCAAAATGTATTACACAGTACACGCAAAATGTTCAGTTTCTATTCGCATTGTTTCCGTAACTGCCTAATATGAGGTATAAAAGTTAGCTAATTGTCGAAAATGATACCTAAAAATTTCGTGTATGGCACAACTGGTACACTAATGTTGTGAATGGAGATGTGTGGGTCATTATGAAGCTCGCGTTTACGACAGAAATGGATGCAGCAAGTTTTAGATGGCGAAAGAGTGTGGCCATTGTGAACAAACCAGTCTAAACTCTTGTTCACAGCTAGTTGCAGTTGCCGTTCGATGACTCTCATGTCGGATCTTGAACAAAGATGTTCAAATCGTCAGCATAGAGAGAGCCAGAGACTGCAGGTGGCAATAAGCTTAAAACCAGTGAAATATGTATGATGAATAATGTGACACTTAAAATTTTACTTTAAGAGACGCCCTACCCCTGAATGTAAGGATCAGAAAATGTAGATCCAAGTTTAACACGAAAATAGAACCTCAGCAATAAATTTTTGATGAAAATAAGTAAATGATCCCGGAGTCCTATGTCAAATAGTGTCTTGAGAATTCCATAATGCCAAGTCCGATCATATGAACTCCCAATATCAAAGAAGACAGACACAAGATGATTCCGCCGGGCAAAGACATTACTAAATCTGGATTCCAGTTCGATAATATAGTCTACAGTCGACCGGCCCTTACGGAAGTCACTTTGAATATCTGATATGACACACTTTTTTCAATGTAATACACCAGTCGATAGTTAACCATCCTCTGAAACGTTTTGAAAAGGCAAAAGGTTAACGTTATCGGGCTATAGTTAACTGGATCGTTATCGTCTTTACCTGGTATTAAAATTGGTGTCACAATTGTTTAATGCCATTGCCATTATAATTGTTTCAGTCCATATTCTGTTGAATAGAACAAGGACATTTGACGACGACGTCCGATCTAAGAGATGGAAGTTGCTATATTCATTAAAGTTTCTATACAAAATGAAAATGTCTTGGAGTCAATATATTTTTCTTTTTTTTCGTTATTTTAGGATATAAAACATATTTTTCAAACTTTAATGAACGTAGAACAAGTATTGCCTTACTTTATATTTTTTGAAATGACTCATAACAATTTTAAAGAGTAAAACATTGCTTTAGTTCAATATTTTTACTTTATTTAAGTCATGTCATAAGGCATTTTTAGCTCAATTTTTGCATTTTTAAGGGCATTTTTTGCACTTTTTAAAGGCATTAATTGGGATTTTTTAGGTCATCAAAGTCCGGGCTATAACTTATAGCCAAATATGCTTTTCGCAAGATCTCCTAACAGAATTTTAATTCTGACATCCGATAAATTTGAAAGATCAGTTTTAAATAATTAATTTATGTATGTCTTTGTAAATATTTTGTCTACGCATACCCTTCCCTCACAGTTACTAGGTAATCACGTATTTCCTCACTTTTTAAAATGACACTTTCCTTCTCTTCAGACTACAGTATCTAACACAAAAGAAGTTATATTGCTTTAAAGATTTGGCGTGAACAGAGATCTAATTCCAGACTCCCTTTCTATAATGTCAAAAGTCTCATAAAGAACATCTTCAGGGCCTCTTTTCATGAAGAACTGGAAAATCGTAATTCCAATAAACCACGGTTTAAACAGATTTTCAATGTCCCTCAGTGGCGTAGGATGAAATCTGCCGCCATGTTTCGTCTGATAACTGGCCACGATTGCCTGAAAAAACATCTATGTCGCATCGACGTGGTTCATGATCCCTTTTGTACATTGTGTGATCTCCACGAGGTAATGGACTTGCCTCACCTGTCTAGGAGTCTCGCTCTCCCTCGGAAATCTGTCTGGGAACGCTACTGGATTGCTTCCTCTTATTTATAGATCTATAGTTATCTTTTTGATGCTCAATTGTCTTTTAATGCGCCATTGGAAATAAAAAAAATAATAAAAAATAAAAATGTAAATAAAAGAAAGATTTAGCATGAAATCGTTTTGCAAAAGCATTTATTGTGAGCTGTAGAGATGACACTCGGCAGAGACAAGAGCATCTGAAATTGTTTCATCAAAACCAAGAAAAAATATTTTANGGCTCACAGAATGGCCTCCCAATGAGGTAACCCGAGTTCGAATCCCAGCGATGGCGAGTCGAAACTAATACCGCATCCGGCTCTCACCGATCACATCGCTGATGCAAAATTTTCTCAGTGGTAGACGGATCATGGGCTAGAGTCCCCTTAAAATCAGACTAACCGTGGGAGGTTTTCCTCTTCGTGTAACGCAAACGTGGGATAGTTGCACCAAAAAGATTTCCGCGAAGGCAAATATCTCCAAATACTTAATCCAGGAGTGTCCTTGTTTTCTGGATTGAGTTCAAAATTACAAGGCTACGGAGTTAAACATTAATAGTAGAAAACTAAAAAATTGTGTCGGCTGTTGAACGGCGGTTATAAAATAAAATATAAATAAAAGGTTTTATGCTTACAAGATCTGTCTAAAACCACCACTAAAACTGCAACAATAGTCAAATAGTTCATTCTGTCCATATGCTCAAAACTAATTTGAGTATCAAAAGTTTGAAGAAATCGTTCTTTATAAACCACGCAAAACATACTACAAGAACAATAATTAAAAAAACCTGTGTCGTTTTGTAATGTTTCGTGAAAATCAAGCCGTTACAAATAATTCAGACTATTCTGTAATGTTGGTATTTGGAATTCAGCGACCGTCTGTGAAATAGGAGATCATGTTATTGAATAACTTTTCGAATTTGATTCGTTATGCTATAGCAATTTGAGATATTTAAAATGAATCAATACATCATTCTGTGTTTCATGGAAAATTGAGATCGAATAACTGAATAGGAAAGAAATATGTGATTGAATAATGCTAGTATTATGTCAATATTACGATAGTTGTTTGTATTTATGCAATTGTTATGTAACTTATCAGTTCATGGGCGTCGCATGCATCCAATTTTTGAGAGGGACGAAATGCTGGAATACTGGACATAGTTACAAAAGTTCTCTAAATTTAATTTAAGAAACAAAATTTAAGTAAGAAACTAAACTGAAATAAGAAACAAAATTTTTACTCATAAGAAAGTCTTATATCTGAGGAAAAAAATTTCTTTATCTCTTTCTTGTCTTTAATTTTGATAAATTTAAATAGAGGACACATATGATACAATCGAAGACTCCCCTTGTAGTAAATGGTGACTGGCGCCCATTAAATTATTCGGGTCACAAAGTCCTCCATGTTCTTAAAACAAATCATACCTCTCGGGGTACTGAATTGGAGATTGATCGTTCTCTGGTTCAGATCAAAATTACTATCTGTGAATGAATGAATGGAGATATAATAGGGTCCCCCTGTAAACGGGGTGTGACGTATGTGTGTAGCAGAAGTCGAATTCTTAGCCATAGCCACTGGAAAACAAAACGAAGCTCATTCCCTTGCCTTAATGGCATATAACAACAATTGATGATTCATAAACATTTTCTTTATTTGTCTGAATTATTGAGGGGGACTTTTAGAGATTTCTAATTTTTGAGGGGGACTCGTCCCCACCAACCCCCCTGCAAACGACGCCAATGTAACAGTTTATTTATTTTTCTTCATACAGAAAAATGCATTAAGAGGATGTGAAAATTTTTTAAAAACTACTGAAAGGTTAGGGTAATGCTGATATAAATTATATTTATTTGAATATATATATTTGAAGGGAAGCAGCACTGTAATTCTTTTAAGAAAGTTAATATTTCGATGGATTGCAAAACTAAACACACAGAAGAAAGGCAGGCATATAGCTCTTCTCTTCTGATACAGACACCACGTTATAAAGCTGTAACAGATGCTGAAAGTGTTGTCTTTGACTTTGAAGTTCATAGCTACACTTTTTGCTATTTTTAAAACCTATTTTATTGTTTTTTCGCAAATTTAGGAAAGTTTATATGGTTTACAATTTGATAATTATCGTAACAGGTTTGTTTTGATTAGAATACGATTGTTTTTCAATTTATGTGTGTTCTAAATCATTAAATTATGTGTAGGGGGGGATAAATTGTAAGCTACAATTTTGGAAATTGCGTCAAATCAGCTTAATTTTATAAGACCATTAAAATAATAAGTTA